ACACCCGAGACAGGAGAGTGGTGGGTTAGTCCTGCTTGTGCCTGGGGTACAAGCGGGGCGTGTGTCTTTGGGGCACCCAGCTGGGCACATTGATTCACGAATCGCCGGGTTATCCGGTACGGCTTGTCTGCGGTTTAGCACCGTAGTAAGAATTGAAAGTTGAAAGGAGAAGAAATGGAACTGATTGCTTCACTCTTGCTTGAAAGTAGAACAGGCTTATATAGATTGACTAGATGAAAACTTAATACGGCTGATGATAATAATGTATCAATAAGGACTCCCTATTAGTATTGCTTTTTGCTAAAAGAGAACCAGCAAACCATAAAGCCTAGCATATTCCTTGGAGTCGGGAAAGTATTCCCACTGTCGGATAAGTCTTGCGAGTACATTGTGTACTCAGGGTTTATTTACCCCTGTTGCAGGTGACGCTTGAGGAGTTCCTTGTGTGGAGGATCCATCTGGTGGGCTCAGACGGAATCCTCGTTATCTTATCGCTAGATGTTATCTTTTAATATTCCGCTGTTTATCATTCAGCACTCTATATTTGGTATTGTAATAATATACTTTTCAAGAAACTCTAATGTATGAGATAGACTTGTGTTGTAACTCGTTTTCATTATTGGATCCTTGAAAAAAATGTGGATCTTTCGGGTTCTCCCTTGGGGTGTGCTCGACGGACACCGCTCGCTGTAGTTACTTTCGAGGTGCTTAGTGTCTGATGGAAGACAAGCGCCTTCGTAAGTACGCTATTTCGGGTGGTTCTGCCACACACATCACTGAGTTCGATGAATTCGGGGATCCACTTTCACCGCCTATAGCTTTGACCAAATACAAGACTATTCTCGGGTTACTTGTAAGGGACTACATCCCGATTAGGTATAGGAAGTGGATTGGGAAAGATGATGACCCATGGAGGGTTCTCGAAAGTGAGAAGGATTACATATGGGATATCAAGATCCTAGAGTATTTCACTTTCCCAATAGAGTATGACAAGGAGTTAGTCAAGAAAAAAGCAAAAGAAATCATGGGGACATGCTTCAAGAATTTCAAGGGAACATTGTACAAGAATTTTGTCCTCCAAAATAAAGAGCCAGATTTCGATGGTGGATAGTTTAGCAAGCAGAAGGACTTCTGGCAGGATTTCAAGGAATACAGGTTATCCGAGGAGTACTTAGAACTGAGCAGGAAGAATAAGAAGAACTCACAGAAAGCGACAAATCCTCATCATCTCGGCTGTCGTGGCTACGCCAAAAAGATGCCAAAATTTAAAGCAGAACTTGAAAAGATGGATCGCCTTGCTGAGGAAGGCGTTCAGGTTGAGACCACCGATTGGGAGCCCAGATCGGTAATATATTGTATGGGGAGGAATGTACGGCACGCCAAGGATGGGAGATTTAGCTCCACAAATCAACCCATGAGCGAACTCATCTAGAGGATCTCCTAGGTAATTGAGGAGGTGAGGCAAGGGACTTGCACTTCTAATAGGGAGAAAGACGTGCTCATCCAAGCACTCGGAACCAAGGAGCACCCTAGTCGCACTAGAGGAACCGGTGTTGTTCCTTGGAAACTAGCATTCCCCCAAGAATATAACACTTACCGGAGCCGCTCGAGGGGTAGAGCGGATCAGGAGGCAGAGTATTTGAGGCGACTAAAAGACATGGAAGACAGAATGGACGCATGGATTGAGTCTAGCAAATTTTGCTGTCCAAGGGGTCAGAAGTACCACAAAACCCTACTCCTACTGCCCTTAGCCCACAGTTTAGGGGTCGCAGCAGCTGCGGATCAACCCCGCTCGATGAAGAAGATGCGAATGTGCCTCATCCGATGGACGGCATCACTGACCCTATCAATGTCAAGTTGTACATCCATCAAGAATGGACAAAGAACAAGGTGGCACTCGGCCAGGCCTGGCCTATGGGAGACGGGACCATTAATGGCCGCCCAATTCTACAGGGGTACACTCGCATCACCATTGACAGAATACTTGATAAGAAGTATAACAAGATACACATTGAATACCCCACAGTACAAGATAGGCCAAAACTTGGTCATAACAAGGGCTCTTAAGTGGCCTGGAGTAAGCGCTTCATTAAGCTTGACCACCGATTGTCCTCTGATGATAAGGACGACTACGAGTCTTCGCCCACCCGCGATGATCACTCACCATCTCCCAACAGAGATCACTCCCCTCCTCATCCCTTGCCATCACCCCCGAGAAGACAGAGCTCTCTTTCTATTCCTCCTCGTCCGACTCCATCTTCATCAGCCCTGAGAAAAGAGAAGACTCCTCCTCCTCCTCCATCTTCATTAGCCCCAGAAAAATAGAATTCTCATCGTCATCCTCCTCCACCTCCACCTCAGCCCAAAACAAGATCAAAGGCATCCTCGCAGTCGCAGAAAAGGTCCTTGGATTCGGTCGCTAATGCTCCCAAAGTGGACCAACAAAAAAGAAAAAGGTCATTCAGTGGCAACGTTACAAACTTGATGGAAGGAAAAATTATAACACACATCTCAAAGGAAGATTGTGTTAGTTTCTTCAATCTCTGTGCCTCACTGCCTCCGTGTTTGTTGAAGTCTGAATTCGAAAGGCAAACACAGAATCAGTACGCTACAATAAGAGTCGATGAAATACACAATGAAGATTTAAGGAAGATACAGAAGTACGTCGAAGACAACCCCTAATTAACCATGGAAGAGGCCGCAAACATCTATTATGATGTATAAGGGACGGGAACACTGACAATGAAGTATGAAAGGGGCAATCTTTTGGTTCCCGGTGACGAGTATAAAAATTTGACAACATATATACGCCAGTTGCATGAATATTACATGGCTCAAGCAACAGAGACGGAGGACTTTGGTTTTGAGGTCATTATCCGTTCGCCACATGTTTTTATTATCCTGAAGAAGAGAAGTTTGATGTCGAGTGGGAGTGTTTGTTCCAGCTATACTAGAAACGCTCTCTCGATTCACAAATGTTGACGCTGTGGACTATGTAAGTACACGCATGATATTATAATTAACTACTCTCTCGAGACACAAATTATTAACTTTTGATCAATTCCCATGATTTTATGTAGGTGTATAGCAAAATTTTGCATACTAAAAAGCAAATGGGATAACATAGGTTTCTTAGATCCCTTGCGAGTCAATGAGAAGACATGTTTAGGCCTCCATGGATGTGACGTGGAAGACTTGAAAGAGAGATTGATTACTGTTTTCGATGAATTCAAGATGAAGAACAAAACTCCACATACTTCTAGCCTACAACTGCGAGTATGTGTTCTCGGCTTTTAATTTTATGCTTCTTTTTTCGTTAAGATTATTCGATAATTAGGATTATGTGATTGCAGCAACCATTTCATCTTCATTTGTGTCAATCTTGCTAAAAATCTGATCGAGATGTGGGACTCGAAGAAAAAAACCATTTCATCATCTGGATGCACTGGTGGCAGTGCTGAATTAGTAAGCGATCCTAATAACATATTATTTTCTAGTCACATATACCGCTTTCTAATATTTCACCTTTTAATGTTGCACAGTGTCCGAAGAAGACATATCGGTGGGACATAGGTCCCATTCAAGGTTGTCAAAATGGAGGGGAAGTACCTAAAACAGTCAGTGGAAAACAATGAATGTGGGTTTTATGTAATGTGGGCAATGCTTCGCTACATCGGCGGAAAATTGGAAGAAGCAGATAGGTTGGTGTGTATAATCCCCATTTCATTTATGTCTGTTAATAATTCAATAAAATGATTTACTAATTTCTCTTTGGATATCATCTTTTTTGAACGACAGCGCAAAAAATATAACCACGAAAGGTTGTTAGACATGGAGATCGTCGCACTGCAATCGGAGCTGGCAAAATTCATCTTAGCCGAGGTATTGGAAAAAGATGGAGTATTTTCTATCGCACAATCCGTGAAGTTCAAGGACCAGTATGACCCAGAGCGGCTCGCTAGATTACTGTAAGAAGTCCGAGAAGCATGCTTCATCTTATCAAATAATTTCTTTTTTATTTTGAGGGATCGAGATCTTGATAAGAACATTTGAACCGTAACCGTAACATTTGTAATGTTTAATATTGATGGATCTGTCGTCTACGTAGCGTATATAAAGCGAACCCCGATTCCACAAAAAAATATAAATTAAAATAAATTATAAAACAATAAAATGCGAACGGACCATCACCGTCGATTAGCAACAAACCGGCAGTGTTGTCGTAACCATCACTGCCGGTTAGAAACAAACCGACAATGTTGTCGTAACCTTCACTGCCGGTTAGCAACAAACCGACGGTGATGGCCAAGATGGCACTGCCGGCTTGAGCCACAAACCGGCAGCGTTAGCTTATCCATCACTACCGATTCTTGTTACAAACCGGCAGTGCTCGTTATGACAACACTGCCGGTTAAAATACAAATCGACAGTGTTAGTGGAACAGAACTCTGTCGGGCGGTCTAATGAACCGGCAGTGTTGGTGGATCTGAACTCTGCCGGTTGTGTAAAGAACCGACAGTGAAGTTGAAGAAAATTGCCGGTTTGTAGGAACCGACAGTAAAGCTGACCCTCATCACTGCTGGTATGGTAGTGCCGGTTCAAAATCCGACGGTGATAGGGTGTTTTGAACCGGCAATGAAGTACTATTCTAACGTAGTGGGTGGTGCTTGGGGGATAGCCTGCGAACATTGCAACCTAACAAGGATTTGCTTTGACCGGTACCATCCCATATTGTAAGGAAGTTCTCTTGTCTTGATATGGAACGAATGAGATCTAGCACCATGTCATGCACACGGCAAGCTAGTGCCTTGCCTTCATCATTGATACCTACTGGCTGTATCATGCTTCGGTTTATTAGATCCTGAAAGTAAGTGTTCCCAAGGCATGTTTTCGATTTCGGTGTAAGCAAAAATATCGGAGAGGGCCGGTAAGACCGGTAGGCTGATTTTTGGCCGAAATTTCACCAATACCGGCCAAAGTTTAATCAAAATTTACAAATATTATCCAATACTGGTCAAAACCATCCGAAACCGTCCAATACCGGAGGGGACCGGTAGGACCGATATTGACCGGTTTTCGCCGGTATTGAGAACTATCCCAAGCTCAAATAAATTATCCTCATCCTTCTTGTGTTGGATTAAACCCTCGGCTATCCACCTCCATATCAATCGACCTCTTCTAATCTCATAATCTTCTGGAAATATACTTAGATACACTAAACAAGCCTTAAGATGAGAAGGAAGATCGTAATAGCTAAATGAAAGTATTCTTTGCATGTCCTCCACGTTGCCGCCGTCTGTAAGTCCATGACCAATAGAATTGAGCACAATATGCCATTGATCTTTTGCTCTTATATGATTGTGATGACTAGCCAAAATAATAGCTATGGAAATAATTGCTAATGGTACCCCGCCACATTTCTTGAGGATATCCTTGGATACTTGTTCCAAATCGGGTGGACATCCTACGCCCTGATGAAATATCCTTTTATAGAACAGCTTCTGAGATTTATCTTCAGACAGAGGTTTCATCCTATAAATTTGATCATCAATGGAAGAGCAGGATGCTTCAGACACACTTAACTTGCGGCTTGTTGTGATTATACGACTACTGGAGTTGTTCTCAGGAACGGCACACTTGATAATTTCCCATAATTTTTCATCCTATATATCATCAATCACGATGAGGTACCTGTGTATTGTTTTTGGAGAGCACTAATTAGCAAATCAACTAAACATATAACTGATGAATGGAGGGGGTGAAAAGGAGGAGCACACAGCCCTAATTGTTTTTGAGTCGTTGGATCTTGAATGGAGGGGTGAGACGGATGGAAAGTTACAACGTGACTTTATGAAGCAAAGTCACTGAATCCTGATCATGGGAGGATCGAGTTGTATTGAGGGAGCTGTTGGGAGAGTTGCATAGTTGCATTGGGGGAGCTGTTGGAGATGCTCACAGCCTGAGTCCACTCCGATCCACATGCAGAATAGGTATATTCAAACAAGCACTAACTGGGTTTCAAACTTTCAATCCAACAATGATAAGCTGATTGGGAAATGTGATGTTTCTTCAAAATCATTCGAAACATCTATTCTCCATACTGTTTAAGGATGTCCACAAGAGTAGCAGGGATACACTAGGGAAGATGATTCATCTATTCTCCATTCAGTGTCAATCCAGTATCAATCATTTCATAAAGGAATCTGTGCTTCAGAAATTTTATAAAGATGATTCATACATGCCGGAAAGCATACAGACGTGACCAATGAATGGTGCTCAAACTAGCCTTCAGTTCAGAGGTAACGAAATATGTAATTCAGTGCATGTTACCTGTCAAAACAATGCATTTCTGTCAATTTAGTGGGTGTCTGGGAGCACATCTTAAACATACCGAATACAGAATCTGGAAGAAGTGCATGGCCAGCTTTATAACATCGCTCGACCCAAGATTATTGGGGAGGAAAAGTAAACATAAACCAAAGTCATGGAACAATGCTCCAATCAATGATCCAGCACTGTCCAATAGAAAATGATTAAGGCGCCAAAGAGAAAACAGAAACAAAAACAGAGGTTTATTGGGCTGGATTTGGGGATGTCAGCTCCGGTGGGGCCTCTCGAGTGACGCCAATCGAGGAATCGTACTCATCCTGGTGAGCAAATTTCTTGCGCAACACCTTCTCAAACTCAATCTTTTCAAGAGGCTTGGCATTCTCATCAGCATGTGCCTTGGACAGGCTGGAATAGTTGGCAGCTGATTCCGCAATAAAAGCGATCTCGTCATCTGTGAGCTTCCTCAGAAATTTGGCAGGGTTCCCTCCCCATACCTAAATCCAACAGAGCATAGTCATGAAAGCATGCAGAAATAAGATACCAAACAAGGCCTCTGCAGCATATTCTCGTTCCACTTCTACCCATGGACACTGTAAATATGTATGCCACATGGAAATGTACTAGACACCAAAGAACAATAATTAAGTGCTCGATGCAGTCTACGTGTTATTTGGGTTTCATCATCGCAAGAAAACCCTGCCTTGGTGGAACCAGTCGAGTGAAATAAAAAAGAAAAGAAAAAGTAAAGGTGCTTGAGACAGCGCAAGTAAGAACCAAAAGTAAAGGACAGTTGAGGAAGTGTGCTCAACCTCTCCACAAGGGATCCTAGTATTCTGCCGTACGAGGGCTCCAGCAGCTACCATCCCGTGCTTTTCAACAACGACACCATCTAATAGGGTTGCCCCCATGCCAACAAAAGCCTCATCCTCAACCGTGCATCCTTGTAACACAGCACTATGACCTGCCAAACAGAGTTGGAAATGTTAACTTTTGTGTATTTTTTTTTCTGGGTCAACTGTTTTGAAGTGCTCCGGCTCGGCCATACAGAGCAAGTTATGCCAAATGGTATTTACTGTCTTCAGTTCTGGTGTAATCAGATCCTGACTGGTCAAAAGAATTGTGCCAATACAAGACTGCAATGATTAAAGAAAGACATATTTCTTGAGGCATTTACCTACTGTGACGTTATTGCCAATGATTGTTGGAAAGACTTTCCCACTTAGATTAGATTTAGCCACATGCACAAGAGAATTGTCTTGTATATTGGTCCCAGATCCAATTTGTATGTTGTTTGCATCCCCTGAAATTGAAGTCAGACTTGTTGATAGCAACATATAACAACTTGGAAGATCAAAATACAAAATAAAAGACTAAGATAAGAAAAAAAATGTGAATAGCAAATTAGTCCACTTCTAGATCTCTACTCTGCAAATTAGCTACTCCCTCTGTTCCAAATTATAGTACACTTTAGCTTATCTACAAGTTCAAATATGTGCACTATTTTAAATTTTAATGAAACTAATTTGATGTTGTAGATGGTGGTGCATTTTTCGATAAACTTAATCAACGTTAGATAAGTTTAACTTAGGGCAAAGCTAAAGTGGCCTACAATTTTGAACGGAGGGAGTATTCTGTAGTAAACAGTCCATAAAGGTCTTCTTTCCTCTTATCCACGAATTGGTTGTGTTTTCAAATCTCTTCTTTTTGCACAAAACAAGAACAGTGGGTCTGTGTAGTGTGTACCACAGAACTACTGACATATGCCTACCTCTGAACCAGCCCTATTATATTAAGATAAAACACAAGATTAAAGAGCATATGCATATGGCCAAACTGTTGAATTAGAAGCAAATCCCACTGAATGCAACAAAAATTACTATCCAACATCAACATTGCATATTCATCAATATCACAGTTATCGAAAATAACAGATTTTTTGTCACCAAAAGTTGTCCGGAAATATACGATGACACAGCTTTTTCGCTAGGGTGGAACGTTGTATATGAGTGGATGGGTACAATATGGAGATACACACATTATAGAAGTACCCACCATCCACCAATTAGCTCCTCTTTTCTTTTTGTGTAAAACAATCAAAATGATGCTCATTAGGACAGGAACCACAAACCTCTTAAGACACACCCATACCAAATGGAAGCTCCTGGCCCAACTTGAACATCACCAATAAGGGATGCACTTGGAGCAACAAATGCGTCTTTATGAACATGAGGGGTTTTGTCAAAGATATTCATGATGGTGCGATGCCTTGAAACTGAAATGGTCCAAAGGGCAGTCATGTTAGCGTTTGCTTATGTAATATTTGTGCATCGGGTGACAACAATATAATAATCATATGATGCTTGTAGAATGAAACAAATAATGATAGTCTTACTTATGGAGACAGAATCATGAAATAAAAGCAAAACCAAAAGAGAGCATATATATTCTAATTCTGAAGGCAGAAGGAAGGGACCATGGACTTAAAAAAATATCAGAAAACATGGACCAAAAGAAAAAGAAAAGACAGCACTAGAAGGCATCATATGGCAGGTGACAGGGTTTTCTTCACATGATCCAGTATTCCAGTTGGGCCATGGGAACCAAATTTATCTGAATTATTGACTTGGTGGATGCAAAAATTTAAAACCAGGGATAAATAACACATTATACTGCTTGCAAGCATTCTTCCTGATTTTCTACAATGTAAGACACATGGTAGAACAATTATTAAATGCTTACAAGTGGGAGTATCAATATCCATACTGCAGATATATCAATTGCAAACCCATTGAATCATGAGATTCCCTTTCCACAAAGAGTTCTTGCTGCATGATTTCATTATAGATAGTGTAACCATGTTATCAACATTCAATATATATTAAAACTATATATTGCAATATATAGTTAAGCATACTTGCAATACTATTTTTAACATACATGATTCTTAGCCAGCCCAATGCACCACAAATCTGCAGCATGAAGCACCCCATGAGAGTAGCTAGTTCTAAGATAGGTAGAGGACAGAAGTATGCGATGCGATGCGAAACAGTTCTTGCACTTTCAGTTTCCTCAACAAGCGCCCCATGGCCGCGAGGATGGAGAGGGAGGGATTGAGTCGATGACGCGTGGGCCCCACATGTCACTGAGATGGAGGTTGCGTGTCAAAACCACTCACCGTCGGTCAAAACAGCCTTGCCCCCGCCTAGGTGCTACTAAAAGTGAACGGTTTTGACAGTTAGTGTACCGGTACTACGGTTTTGTAGTTGAGGGTTAAAATTAGACCGACACAATAGTTGAGGGGCCAAAAGTGGACTTAATCCTCATTGAAATGATCAACGCAGCAATTTGACATCTGGGAAACTTCTAGTCCTACAAAATTCGCACCACCTTGTAAAACCAGATGCTACCAAAGAATGGTCTACAATTCATACAGGTATCGTTGACCGACCAACCTATCAATCTTATCAGTTCTTGTACATTTAACACGAGCAAGACTGTGGACAATCTCGAGTGAACCAGCCTATCCTTCCTAGATAGGGGATTTACGTGCCCGACGCAAAAACCCAACATTTCCCTAACCGCTCCTAACCCTATCCAGCAATCCCCATTCGCTCACTCCTTTCTGCCGCTCAGGACAGACGAATCCCCTCTGCGCCCGCAGTGCTCCGCTGATCGATGGACACGGGAGGGTGTTTTTAGAGGAGGACGGGGTGTGCCGGAGGGGCGGCGTCGCTTACTCTGCTCGTGGAAGAAGTACTTGCCCTGCAGGCGGCAGCCGAGGCGGTCGAGGGCCTGGCCGGTCTCCCGGATCCAGAACCCCACCGCGTACATCGCCTTTCCCAGACCTGCCATCTCCCCTGGCGGCGGCGGGGGTGGCCGAAATCGCGAGCGGCGGAGGCGAAGCGATGCGAATGAGCTCGTACCCTTGGAGATCTCAAGAGGAAGGGAGCCGAGGCGAGGGAAGGGGATGGAGAGGAACGGAGGCTGGGCACTGGGCCTGCTGTGCTGGGGTTTGCTAGGTGGTCGGAGAACTTTACCCTTTTGCCCCCTTGGCAGAGAGTGAATTCAGAAATGTGTGATGTCGAAACGAGAAGGGGAATCGTGGTTTTTTCAATTAGGTCTTTTTTTACACCCTAAACAAACTTTTCTCCTACAACTAAAAAGAACAAAACGTAGATATTTTTTAGTACGACATTCCAAGGTGGGTCCATCGTCCTGTCTGTTGCGTTCCCGCATCCTCACTCCCACGCAAGGCCGTCCCTTGCGATATTTAGAGAGTTCGTCTACCGCCCATGCGAAAAAAAATCCGCATCCCCCTCACCCCTAATGCCTCGCACCCCGCGCTCGACTCTCCCACTCCCCCGACGCCTCCCCTCCCACGTGTGCGACGACTCCTCCATCTCTCCCCCACGGACGAGGCACCAGCCCACCAGGCGAGAGCGCCGGCCAAGGACGCGAGGCCGCCCGCAGCCGGCCACCAGGGCGCAGGGCCCGCGCGCACTCTCTCTCGTGGCGACTGCAGACCATCGCGGTAGCCCTACGCCAGGTGCCCAGGTTTTCGTCGGGCCCTTCGCCATGTCTTCGACGGACCCTTTGTCGGCGACGAGCACCAATAGGTACGCCCACCCCTTCCCTGCTCTCCTTTCTGTGCGAAGCCGAGGACCCAAACCCTAACTTAAGCTATTTGGTGTACTCAGATCTAATCTAATATCAAGCCTACCAAATTCGATTTTGTACAAAAGTTATCAAGTGTGAATATGTCCACCGTGTCCTTTTACTGGATCCGTCCCTACTGTTGGTCTTGGTTTTGTTGATTTGCTCTGTAGTGATGGAGGGTTTAGGAAGGAACTAACTTGCTAATCCAGTATAAGCAATTGGATTATGTTTGATCTCATCTGTACCAAAGAAATAACAAAATGACATATTGAGATCTCAACATCATTATCAAGCTATGTTATTTCTACCTATGAGCATACTGCTGTTGTGATCATATCTGAGTATGCTACTGCTGTCAGCATGCTGTTTCTTTGTTCATCTCTGAGATCATGTCATGTTCAATTTTTGTCATCCTCCATAGAATGTTGCTTCTGTGATCATATTTTAGATAACAAGATATTTTTGTTATCTACTAGGATCCTTGTGAATTTCTACCTATTATGGAGGAATTAATCCGGTCCATGCTTTCAAGCCAAACCCAAAGACCAATTTGCAGGAGAACCGGAGAATAGAAGAATAGTAGATTTCTTCTCTCACCACCCAAAGAGCCTACACATGTTTTCCTAGCCTTGTAGAACTGGTAATTTTTCATATGCAACTCTCTAGAATGTATGAGCTATGAAGGCTGGATTTTTTTTTATCAGAGGTGAGACCTTCCTTCTCATAGGTACATGTACACTCTGAATGCCATTTTTTGCTGTGAAGATAACAACACATTTGGGGCTAATGCCAAAAAAGTTTCATGCAATGTCTCGTCGTATTAGTAAAACAATGAACTTTTAGTGCTCAGTTAAGTGAAAATAGCTTTGACAAAACACAATAGCTAAGTACTTCAAATTTGATAGAATTAACTTTCGACTTAATGTGGCCCGTAGCGTTAGCACGGGCAATATACTAAAGAGCTAAAACGAAATCGATGCTGTGATTCAGCCTCAAACCTCGCTCCCGTGATTTGAAAAGGAAGGATCGCTCCCGTGATTCATCTGCACGGCTACCCATCCACCACGCCCCATCGTCGCCCTCACCGCGCCGTCGCTGCACACGCCCGCCTGGCTCCCGCACCCGCTCGCCTCTGGCCGCGCCGCCCCCGCCTGCGCCCGCCCGTGAGATCTCATCCCCGCTCTCCTCCATTCCTCCCCGCAGCACCCCTCCGCCGACCGCCCTCACCAACACCTGCGACCCCCACGTGACCAGGGAGCCGGACCGCCGCCACCGAGGACCGCCGCCACGCCGTCGCTCCCGACTTCTGGTTCTCGCCGACCACCAGCATCCACGTCGGTGTCTGTATCTGCATCCCTGAGCCGGCTCGTCCGTATCTGCGTCGCCGGATCTTCATCGGGCCCTTCACCGGCGACGAAGACCCGCAGCAACAGAAGACGGGAGGGCGCCCGCGCGTCCCTCACCTCGATCCGGCTCGTGTCTTCGTCAGTCCTGCTGTGCTACCAAATCCTCTGCTCCTGCCGCACTTTCACCTCCCTCCCGTCCTGCGAGGAGCACCACCAGGTGTGCCAATCCCTTCTCTTCCCTTCCTATTGTGCGAAATCGAGCACTCAAACCCTACCTAACTTCGATCTAATTACATGTGTGTACATGTATTCGTTCGAGATCGCCAGAATTGTTCAAGGACCTGGTGTCCTGCATCCATGGATTAGTTGCTGACGCTGTATTGGTCAGTTTACTTATTTCCCCTTTCTTTTGTTTCATTATGGATTTTTGAACTATGACTCCTTTAGTGCTGTGAGCTGCTACTTATATTTTAAATTGATCACAAAACTACTTACTGCAATGCAGGCCATACTTTTGATTCACGATTGAAGGCTCTTCTCACTTAAGCACCTCACCGTGCCCGGCTGGATATCCTCCTGGTATTAATTTTTTTTTCTTCCATCTCCTTCTTAGAGTTATGTTTCATGAACTCTATTTTATTTGTTTAAGACACAGTTAGTTGGCCATGTCAATACTAACTGCAAATGAGTATAATATTTGCAGCTTTGTTTTCAACTTAATTTGAGCTTAGGAAAAAAAATAGAGCACTGGAAGTTTGATAAATTGCATATAAAATATGCCCTAATTGTTTGTGTGGTTTTCGTTAAGCACATTCCCATAGATGTTGTTATGTTATTAAATAAATTATATTGTGCTTGAACTATCTTGTTTCAACAAAAATTACATAGATCATGCTTCTTACTGTTACTACGTCGGCTGTGTGATATGACATTATAAGCAAGGCATTTTAGTTCTAACCAATACTCTATGTTTGTTCTTTGAATAATATTTGGAGCGTAGGTGGTGCCATTGGCAGCATATTCACTAAATGATGATCTAAAGGGATTGTAAATTTGCTCAATATAAGACAATGTGCCATGTTACCATGACACATGCTGGACTCATCCTTTCCATTCAGCTCTCATCCGCGACAAGTATCAGGTAAAATGCATAGTTGCTAATTGCTATCTATTTCAAGGAGAAAACTCAGAAGTCAGTTTCATGGTGCAAAATTACTTCAGTTAAAATATTAAGTGTTCATGCATGAGAATGACTTGTTCTGTATTTTTCCTGGATGGCGGAACCCTCCAGCCTATTCAAGAATATATTGTGAAATTCAAAGAGCTCTTCTTCCATGGTTTCAATCTGACGCGGGTTTTGGTCCGTCTGTGTGTCGGTGGGGTTGCATAGCTGGTGAAGGTGCTGAGCAAGGTGTGCAAAGGCCGCAACCGTTGGCGTGACGGGAACCAAGCGCCGCGGGCCTCTCTAGCTAGCCTCCATGAACAGGAACGCGGAGTTGTGCCGGTTCCTGATCAAGACTTGCGACGTCGATGCGACTGATTCTGATGGTAGTACGGCGCAGTAGAGGGTGTGTTTTTCTTTCTATGACATTAGTAAGTCGTGAATGCTCCTCCAGTGCATTATGTAGAGATTTTATTTGCCTGTGAAATATCGACGAAAGCTAGCTGGCAGTGGTCATGTACTGACGCAAAATTGTGTAATATTTCTATATACCTGTATGATTTTGTAAATTGTGATGAAGCAGATGCTGGTGAACTTTTAGTAGCATTGTTTTTATGTTGCCCTTAAGCACTAGGCACTAGGTTGTTACTATCAATTTACCATTATTCTTGATTCATGAAAGATGTGGTTTTGGTTGATGGTAGATATTGGTAACATTGTTATTAGTTGTAGAAACACATTTAGAATTTTTGTGTCCGGCAAGCTTCTTTTCTGCCAAATGTACATTGAAACTGGAGATGAATGCAATCCAATAGCTATATTTTGTTGCCTCTTGTGAGTTTGAATAGTGCCTGCTCCAAATTTTTTGAAAGGATATGCATTGATTTATCAAATGAGAATAGGCTGTAGTTTTCTGTTGTTACATTTTGAAAGGATATGCATTGCTTTTGTCTTGCTCATCTTCTTTTCAGTACAAGCCTGAGTCATGTACCCTGCAAGCACACAAAGGAGACAAAATTAAGAATTATTATCGTGTAAGTATATGATATGTATACTTTTTTAGTCCTGCTGTATTTTCCACAATGATTTTTCTAATTACCTTTTTAGCCTGAGTCATGTACCCTGCAAGCACACAAAGGAGGGGAGGTGTCGAGGGAGTGGGAGAGTCGAGCGTGGGGTGGGAGGCATCGGGGGTGAGGGGGATGCTGAATTTTTTTTGCACAGACGACAAACGGACGACCCGAAGGTAATTGTCGCACCAAAAAATTATCCACTCTTTAGTTTTTTAGTTGTGAGAGATTGCCTTTATCAGAAAGAATGCATCATAAGCTGCAGTTTTAACAGATGTGTATGCTGCTGTGCTTTGGAGTTATATAATATGAAATATTTTGCTAATTACTGATCTGGTATATTTTGTACTTGAGTCTGTCCATGTTAATAAGCTGCAGCATGATTCCATTTTGAGGATGGCTAGGTTTGATGATATTAACCGTTTCAAAAAATTGTTGAACTAACTTTGTGATGTTGTTACCTTCCATTGTGGTGGCTTCATTGTTGGGAGTAGTGTCGTTCCCTCGTGCCTTTTCCTCCATTGACAGAAAGCACGACTTCACTGGCATCAACCTCCATTGGTTGCTTTGCACTAACTGCACCATTTTCTCCTCTTCCATGGATGCGCCCTCAAGGTG